AAAATTAAGAAACCGTTCTAGTACTTTGAAAAGTGACCTGTTTCGTGTTAACCTCATTGATTACCAACGTTGTATATGTGGCTTCCCTATTGAAGACACACACCATTTCTTTTTTACCTGTGATATATATAACGAACAAAGAATTAAGCTTTATCGTGAACTGAATGAATACATGCCTCTTAATTTAAATCTACTTCTATTTGGAGATACATCTCTTTCGGAACAGGAAAACATAACGATATTCATGCATACTCAGCAATACATTCGTGACTCTAACAGATTCTAGTACACCCCCTCCCCCTTGTCCCCTCTCTCTCCCTCTCTCTCAATTGAACCATAATATCCACTCTCTCTAAGAGGAAGATACTATATGTCATACATTAATAATGATGAGGATGTATGTATTATAATTACAGACTATTATCCCCCCTGTCTCTTCCCCCTTCCCCCCTTTTCTCTCTCTGTCTCTCTCTTATAATTTCAATTTATAAATTAAAGCATTTAAAAATGAAATAGTGTATATATGTAAATTAATTCTGCCATCTTGTTGTACTATTGTAAATATATGCTTGTAATTTGCTAGGAAAGGGCTTAATATAAGTTTGATAACTTGTGCCCAATCCATTTGCTTGGCAATAAAATATGTTTAAACTAAAAATAAGTGTATACAGTATGTCAACTAGGCGGAGTTCAGGACGACACTATTACAAGTTGTTCGCCAACTGTATTTCTTTCCGATTAGAGTAGGCTACCTCTGTTAAAACGTGTACGTTATCTTTGTATATATCTGTAATTATCCACCGATATCTTCAGATATCATCAGCTAAGGTCAGTACGGTCCATTCAGGTCATACAAACACAATACGTAGATAAGTCTATAAAATCAATATTTTAAAATCTTGCATGATCAAGTCTTAAAAAATACAATAAAAGATTAAGAAAACTTGTTTACACCTTGAAAATTTATTACAGTAGTCAATCTGACAAAAACACATAAATACGGATATTAAGATTTGTAAATCCACATCCGGTTAAGAGTTGGGAACGGGCCTGGATAGCTTCGTGCAGCCAACAAGGACAGCAAAGTGATAACGCAACGTTAGTGTGTCCGTGATGTAAGTGTGAATTCAACGTGGTTGTAAGTATATGATGACATGTAAAATTGTATAAATTGATATCAAGGGGCAGCTATTCATGGTTTACTGACTTAACGACCTACAGCTGTTCCAGTTTATTGCTTTTGAACGCTATATAGGGCTACATTCGCGTATCCGGTTGAAACGGTTGAACCGGTTGAACCTGTAACGAAAACGACAGGTAGAGATTTGGACCGAGACTGACCTCAGGAAAATTTGGTACGTGTAGATTGAGGGGTCCAGACGTACCTGACCGAAACTAAAATGCTGACTATTGCCAATTTGCGTTATTTCTTTCTTAGACAATGTCAAGTTAAATGTAATTTTTAAGATACGTTATGTAATTTAGTGGACGCGTGAGAGAAGGGCATACTATTCTTGATACATTGTTTTTTTATTCTCGGAAACTGTGGATTTTTAGCTCTGCTTATAGAACGGTAATTTCTGCGCCACATGTACCGTTTCAACCGGGATACGCGAATGTAGCCCAGTACATGTGTGCCTACCTTGACCTTGCTTAGCTTATCTATGGTTTGAAGTTGGATACACCACCCTACTTGTGCTATAAACTATATTTTGACGACCTGTCCTACTAGCATTGCTAAAGCGCTTGTGTAAATAAATTGATTGTACATTAAACTACAATTATACTTATTCAGCTTTTAACGTGTGTTAATCCGACTCCCATTAAAGGGGCTGGTCGGGGAAAAAATGTCATATTTGCTAAAATGGCATACACATGTTTAAAATACCTTCTTATGAAATATACCGATTCAAATTTTGCTGAAATTCACTTCCTAAGAGTAAAAATTATAATTTTATCAAAGAATTCCTAAATCGTCACCTGACAGTCTAAAACTCTCAATTGACCCAGATCAGTGATGTAATTTTACCGCATGCGCGTCATCAACAAGGCCAAATGTAAACATCGCGGCGAAAGAACAAGATGCATGCAAAAGTCATGACAGGCACGAGGTATCAATACCGTTATATATAACAACAACATATAGATATGAATACTACACTTGCATCATACATGACCTTTGAAAACAATTATTTTCGTATAGTATTGCTGTCTTGTCCGCTAGTTGAGTCCGACATGGCTGTTAGACGGCGTGCTATTGTTGTTATCTTCACTGCTTCACTTTCGAAACTACCACGTAACATATATAAATAGATCTGCGCTAAATTTACGCGGGGTTTCACCGAGATTTCAGTGGTCAAAACTGGACATTGCAAGCAGATATCGACCATCATATTGCCGTAGTATAACTTTTGGAAGGCCAGAGAACGCATTTAGACCCATTTATTATGTATTTTTTTCCCCGACCAGCTCCTTTAACATTCCTTTCACACAGATAAAACCATAGAGAAACGGACAAAGAGAGACAACTCTAAAATGGCTCACTCACAAGAGAAACGATGGAACAGATTCCAGAAAAAGAAATATGGATATTCGATATGCGTTTATGCCATGTTATTTATCATTGTAAGTATATTCTTTGTTAGTTGGGGAAGAACTGTTTTGTTTTGTTAGCAGAATGTTACATATTTACATTCGCATGAATACCATGTAAGGAAGAAACATTTTGCCGGATGCAATGTTACATGTATGTATGGTATATTATTACCTTGATATTTGATATCTTGTTTAATATTTTCTCCTCCAGGTTAAATCACGAGCTATAATCAATAAATGGCAAAGACATATTTCCAGTTAATTTCTAATTACTGTTGTTAAATGCAGACGTGTTTGTATATGTGATACTGTATTCCTCTTGTCGGGTAATTTGTGAAAAAATAAACACCAAGTCATGTTTAGTGGATCCGAACATTTATTTTCGTTAAAACGTAAGAAAACATCTAACGGGCAAAAACAGGTCGTATTCAACGCAACTTACGGGTTGTATTCTTTAAATTATACAACTTCAATGTCTTTGGGGCTGGATGTTTATTAAATGTTGTACAATACATGCAAGCAAATGTAAAAACATAAAAACAACAAACAAAACAAACAAAAACATTTTATGTAAATATCACTAAAGTATTTTTCCTTCGTTGCTTAACCCCGTCGAAACTCCACACCTTCTTAAATCATTTTGAAATGGGGAGGGGGGTAATAGTCTTGTGAAACACCAAAGCAAGGAAAGAATATTAAGCATGGTTTATAACGTTTGATTTATCGGGTCTATAAACAAGTATGTCTGCTGCAGGCTGTTTGTTGGTGCGGATACGATTAAATAAATAGTACTACTTCAGTTTAAAGCGATGCTGAAGGAAACCAGCATAGCATTCCCAAGATCACACTACACTTACTAATAACCACTTGTTGCAATTACCCAATTTACTAAACGTTAAACAGGGAATACACAATACCAGCTTAAAGGACTTCGGTATGTCCCGGCCGGGGGCAGAATTGGCTCTTTTCATTAGGCCGAACGTTCAACACTAAGGCCGAAAAGTACGTTATTGCTCAGGAAGGCGCAAGGAAACAAAGGGTTTAAGGAAGGGAAAATTTATTCATATCCTGAATGTTGTAATAGATTCAGCATATCTACTTTGTTCGCCTTCATGCGTCTGAGGTCAGGATTCCCGCATTAGCCGTCTCTTACAAAATGTAGTGGGTAATAACAGGTGTGTTCTTTTCTCAATTTCCTACCAGCATGGGTGCTGCAACCGTAAAGACACACTTAACTTTATTTTGGGCATAACGCCAAAAGCCAGGGTCATATGATTACAGAGCAGGGAATGGTTTGGTTAAAGGGGGTTAAGCTTCCTATAGATAGCTAGGGTCATTTAAGGACATGTGTATAATGTATGTGTAATGTTAGTTTGTGTGCTGGAAGCGGTACGGTGGTACCACTCACATCCACAAAAATAATGTTAGCTCGCTGACAACTACATTATCGATACACTCTCTAACATTAGGAAACTAACAATTAACAGATCATTAAAAAATATATATCATTCCACTCACAATCATATGGGTTAACTGTTTTCAACTCTTTACTTTCCAGGGTTGGATTCGAGGTCTGTTTGGGCCATCCTTCATAGATTTACAGTTGATTAGTGACGTCACGTTGAAACTTGGTTCGTGGATATCTACCGTGAATTTCATTGGATATGCCCTTGGGTGTGTGACTGGAGGATTTTTATATGATAAAATAAATCGGAACATCTTTTACGGTACAGGTCTACTTCTAATAGGGATTGTGACAGCCGGTGTTCCTTGGTGCTTCGTCTTTGTGTTGATGGCTGCGGCTCACTTTTGTCAGGGCTTTGCTTCGGGTATGGTGGACACAGGTAATGAATGATTTCGTACAAATTGTTACCCCAATCGGGAACCGCCGGCACTTTCCGTAAACGAGAAAATACGTATTTTCTCGTTTACGGAAAGTGCCGACGGTTCCCGATTGATTGTAACCCCATAATGTCGGCGACGCTCGCAATTATTCATTGCATTGTTTGATTTACTGTTCTCTCTTTTTTGTAAAACCTCCGACGATTGTATTGTAAATCAAAGGCAAACTATAATCTGTTACGATAAAGAGTAAGGTGAGAATGTCTCAAACCTACTACAAAGTTAGGGCGGAGTGTTCCAAACAGGCAGCATCGGAGTTGCTCCTATGAAACAATTTATAATCAATTTTAATGAGCTACTTTTGTTCTTAAATAAAATCATTACATCGACCCTAAAAATGTAAATAGGTATGAGCTGGTTATGCGATTGAGGTCCGGCTATAATCTCAAATGAAGCTGGTTGAGCTTACTTTATAAGTTATAATTCCATACAACTTCTGAAAATAATGTGCGGTGGTTATGCTCATATTTAAGTGAATGCGGTCCCACTGATGCTCGATGTTGTGTTTTTCAAATTGCTGCAATACATTGATTTCTTATGTGAACACTATTGACTGACAGCCTCATATGTTTCGTTTCAGTTGGTAATGCAGAGATGATGCAGATGTGGAGCGACAAGAAAATGATGTACTTTTTTATGGAGTTTTCTTACTCTGTAGGTGTGTTTATAGCTCCCCTGGTTGTCGCCCCTTTCTTGTCAGATTATACAAACGACATTTCTACTCATCAGCACATGAACAGCACGTTTGATAATGTCACATACTTACATAATATTTCATCCATTTCAACTGTTTCCAGCAACATCCAATTTCAGTCATTTGGTAGAGCTGTGAATAGCACTTTCGGTAATGAAACAACTGGAAATGTGACTAAGCACACAGAAAGACCTACCATGACCTCTCGACTGTTTATTCCATATTCGATAAGTGCGGTTTTAGCAGTGTTAGTTTGTTTGCCTTTCTTCATATTGCATTTTATGAGATATATGGAAACTAATGATGACATAACGGAAGTCAATGATACAACAAAAGAAATGAAACAGTCTTCAGCAGACGACAGAACAATAAGAGTTTTGCCTACTAAACTAAAAGTAGTTTGTCTCGTACTAATTTGCAGTTTAATGTTCATGGGTATATCACTAGGTGAGGGGTATATATCTTTCATTGTGGTGTACTGTGTAGAGGAAATAGGGTTTTCCCCAACTGACGGGGCACTTGTCAGCGCTGTGTCTAATGTGTGCTGTATTGTGGCTATAGTCGTAGCCATATTTGTCTCCCGTTTCAATACTCTAGTTTACCTAGGAATTCATATCGTTGGTACATCGGTAGGCGTTACAGCGCTTTTATTTAGTTCTATAGGACAATCCAATTTAGGTGTATGGATATCTTCAGCGATGGTGGGCTACTTTAGATCAATGATATTTTCGTTGACCTTTACTTGGACAAATAACTACATCACACCAACAACGGGAAAGGTAGCCTCTCTGTTCATGCTGTGTACGTGTTCTGGATCTGCTGTGATTCCACTCCTACTTGGCTGGCTAATGGAGGAGTACACCAACCTTTGGTTCTGTTTCCTACTCATTATATTTGGTGTGTGTACACTTATATTATATATAATAGGTATGGTCCTTACAAGGTACGTCACAACATTGTACGGTAAAACATATGACAGAATTGCAGTACATGACATATATCTGACAGAAAGACTAAATGACGAAGTAGATGGGATCGATGTCGCTGTATCATCGAAATAATTCAATATTCAATAATTCAGGACATCTATTTCTCCAATAGTTGCCCGTGAAAATAAGTAATTCACGCATGAAAAGATAAAACTGTCTTTCCCGCGTTAAAGACTGCCTGTACACGCACTCTGAAGTTATGACGCAGTTTTGCATACTTGACCCAGCGTCTTCCTCGAATGACGTCGGCGTTGGAAACAGTTCTGTTGTGCTGACAGATTTAAATCGATTATGTTTGTACTTCTTATATTATATTAAATTTGTTTGATTTTAAATAAAAAGAAAACCATTGTTAACTTGGTGCTATAATTCGGTGTTTGGTTTTTATGTTCATTTGTTCATCACCAATATGAATAAACACATTATTGTATTCTAATGGTATATAAGCATATGACCACTTGAAATGTATTCCGTCTTTGCGTATTGCAGAGTTATCTTCTCTTGTGAGCAGGTATTGGTTGTTTCGTCATTTTGTTTGTGAGAGTAACGTCATCAATTTTTGAGAAAACGACGAAATTTTCTCACACAAACCAATGACGTAACAATCAATACCTGCTCACAAAGGAAGACAACTCTGCAATACGCAAAGACGGAATTGGCACTGGCATCATTATTTCGAGTATGGGAGGGAAGAATTTAAACGAAGCCTCGTGCTGGACAGCAAAATTTTACCCGCGGATTGAGATATCCCTGTCCACGGACCACCATATTGTAAGATTATCTCAATCTACAGTGATTTTATGGAAATATCTTGGTGTTCAAAATGTGCTGGAAAACACGTATTAATTTGTCACATGCTTATGGAAGAAATGCTGAATTATATGACGAACATCAAGTATTGCACAAATGTTCTCAATACTTGTAAATGGTTTCATCAAGTGAAGCAGATCTATTAATAGTAACAAAACCTTACTTCGGCTATTATTATTATTATTATTATTATTATTATTATTATTATTATAAACAGCTAATCTTAGTGTCATATTCTTTGAAAAGAGGCAGTGAAGTGGTTGGGCTTATATGCGGTACGTAATAATGAACAGCTGTATTTATTCAGATTGTCCACCACATAATGTATGAAATAATTCATAGTCAGATTGACCGTGTAGGTAAACGCTTAACGTAGTATAGCACACATTATCAATACTACACCAACACTGGTCTCTTAGATGTTCCGTATAGGTACAATTTAGTATTATATGACTAGTAAACACTGTGTATAAAACGCCACATGTAAGACATACATTTGTTGTCTTATCATTTCTGATGGTTACTATTAACGTCATTAAATGTTGTACACACCATTTATAATAATAATAATAATTCGAGGTTCTTATATACCGCTTTATCACAACCTGGTTCGTAGGACGTCTCAAAGCGGTTCACAAATTATTATCCGTGGTTATAGGGCCTTTGCAGCCAGCCAATATCTTTCTCAACTCCCTGGGGAGCATACAGCCGGTGCTGCCATTTCGGCGCTCACAGCTAGCATTCTACAATTCTAGCACTGCCCAATCACGTACTCATTTGCAGCTGAGTAGACTGGAACAAGCGGAGGAAAGTATCTTGCTCAAAGATACAACACATTGCCGTGCCGTGACTCGAACCCGCCCCCCTTCGGTCACGAGCCCGGCGTCCTACCACTAGACTACCGTGCCTCCTCATTTGGGATATTTCATTACAAGTTTCCAAAATACATGTGGAGCTATACAAATCTGTTAAAATCGCTGTCTAATGACATTCTCTCTTTCCACCTACACATTTTTCATACTCCTCTTTCTAAAGAACAGACTTCTTAACTAATGTCTTCCACTGATTTTTTGGAAGGAAAACACCTGATTCTAAATAAACTTTCAATGTTTGATATAAGTCATATTTTTAAGCACATTCACCCAATCTGATACCAATTTAGTTTGCTCTTTTTCTTCTAACAGGAACATATATAATCCAGTAACAAGCCAAGGAAAAAATAATTTTTTGTTGTCAATGAATGCTTCGATTGAAGTCCAACCGATTAGCGATGTACATATGTCTGTTCTAGTGGATGAAGCGAATCCTTGAATAGATTTAACAATTCCGTCTTTGCGTATTGCAGAGTTATCTTCTCTTGGGAGCAGGTATTGATTGTTACGTCATTGGTTTGTGTGAGAAAATTACGTCGTTTTCTCAAAAATTGATGACGTTACTCTCACAAACAAGTGACGTAACAATCAATACCTGCTCCCAAGAGAAGATAACTCTGCAATACGCAAAGACGGAATATAGTGTTGAGCTCTCTCTAGCATGAGAACGTCTGTTTTTGTGAGTAGCCAAAGTCCACACCCATACAGAGCAAATGGATATACCTTAAAATCTTGAATATTATCTGCAAATTTAGAACTCCAAATATTAAGCTTCCAGTAGAAACAGGAAGATTGGTGGGAATTCAAAGACAAGACAGAATATGCCTACTCTGTAATACTGGTATTGGGGACGAGTTTCATTACTTATATACTTGTAATAACGATACTTTATTCAAGACAAGGGAAAAACATATTCCGGCCTATTTTCATACAAGTCCAAACCAACATAAAATGAAAGGAATGTTCACAATTTTTAATATGAAATTGTTAAAATGTGTAAGCTTATTTGTCCAAAAATTAACAAAAGCACTGTAGTGTCTCTATTCTATATTTTTTGCTATAACTGTTTGCTAGTGGCATTTTAGATACGTTGAACACTGACTTATTTGTATGTAACTAGGCGTTGATATAGAATGCTTGCCTGTCATGCACTCAAACTATGTTATATATACACGACCTCTTGTTACACATATTTATGTGTGTCCGAGTGTTGTAAAAATCTTGAAATCTTGAAAATCTTAGGTTTGATTAATTTGGCTGTAGTTAAACGGTTCAGTGCGCCTAGGTGTGCTCCAGATCGTAGTAGAGGCATGGTACCCGATTTTAGTTTACTACAAGCGCGAGCGGTTCTGTTTGTATTATTTCGTTTGCTATTCAGCATCAGCCCGTCATGCGTAATATGATCAACTACTGGTAATGTACATTGGTATAAGTATATAAGTGTGCTGCCACGTACTACACGTACTATGATGACGCCTACATACTACAGGTAAATCCAAACAAGGAAGTGGATGAAAAAGAATCGTTGTAGTTAAAATAGTTTATAATCGTGCCGGGTAGCGTTCTGACGTCATCACATGATTAATAAACTTCCGCATTTGGTGCAAGTACCTTTAAAACTGTATCAGAAGCACTACCTATCAGGAGACTACTTCTGAAGTACAGGCCAATTTGATTGCCATAACAAATGCTTATATAATTACCGCTATATGTGGTAATGAAATATCCGCAATATGCGTTAATTTTTGAACAGTAATAACAGTACATTTTATAACCGCCATAGATGAGTGTTCTTACTATATAACTACAATATGTGCTTATTTTATAATTGTCATATGTGATTGTGATTATATAAGTGCCGTATATGATTGTGATGTTATAACCGCCGTGTATGAGTGTGATGTTATAACCGCCGTATATGAATGTGATGTTATAACCGCCGTATATGAGTGTGATGTTATAACCGCCGTATATGATTGTGATTATATAAGTGCCGTATATGATTGTGATTATATAAGTGCCGTATATGATTGTGATGGTATAACCGCCCTATATCATTGTGATTATGTAAGTGCCGTATATGATTGTAATTTTATAACCGCCGTATATGATTGTGATGTTATAACCGCCATATATGATTGTGTTTATATAACCGCCATATATGATTGTGATTATATAAGTGCCGTATATGATTGTGATGTTATAACCGCCGTATATGATTGTGATGATATAACCGCCGTATATGATTGTGATGATATAACCGCCATATGTGGTTGTGATTATATAAGTGCCGTATATGATTGTGATTATATAAGTGCCGTATATGATTGTGATTATATAAGTGCCGTATATGAGTGTGATGTTATAACCGCCGTATATGATTGTGATGTTATAACCGCCGTATATGATTGTGATGTTATAACCGCCATATATGATTGTGATGATATAACCGCCATATGTGGTTGTGATTATATAAGTGCCGTATATGATTGTGATTATATAAGTGCCGTATATGATTGTGATTATATAAGTGCCGTATATGAGTGTGATGTTATAACCGCCGTATATGATTGTGATGTTATAACCGCCGTATATGATTGTGATTTTATAACTGCCATATATGATTGTGATTATATAAGTGCCGTATATGATTGTGAATATATTAGTGCCGTACATGATTGTGATTATATTAGTGCCGTATATGATTGTGATTATATAAGTGCCGTATATGATTGTGATTATATAAGTGCCGTATATGATTGTGATTATATAAGTGCCGTATATGATTGTGATTATATAAGTGCCGTATATGATTGTGATTATATAAGTGCCGTATATGATTGTGATTATATAAGTGCCGTATATGATTGTGATTATATAAGTGCCGTATATGATTGTGATTATATAAGTGCCGTATATGATTGTGATTATATAAGTGCCGTATATGATTGTGATTATATAAGTGCCGTATATGATTGTGATTATATAAGTGCCGTATATGATTGTGATTATATAAGTGCCGTATATGATTGTGATTATATAAGTGCCGTATATGATTGTGATTATATAAGTGCCGTATATGAGTGTGATGTTATAACCGCCGTATATGAGTGTGATGTTATAACCGCCGTATATGATTGTGATGTTATAACCGCCGTATATGATTGTGATGTTATAACCGCCGTATATGATTGTGATGTTATAACCGCCGTATATGATTGTGATTTTATTAGTGCCATATATGATTGTGATTATATAAGTGCCGTATATGATTGTGAATATATTAGTGCCGTACATGATTGTGATTATATTAGTGCCGTATATGATTGTGATTATATAAGTGCCGTATATGATTGTGATTTTATTACCGCCGTATATGATTGTGATTATATAAGTGCCGTACATGATTATGATTATATAACCGCCGTATACGATTGTTATTATATAACCGCCGCATATGATTTTGACGACTACATACATTTAACTGTAACATGTGCTTATTTTATTACTGCTATATGGATGCTTAAGTTATAGCTACCGTGTGTGCTTATTATAAAGCCACCATACCTCTTTACATGTTAAACATGACGTCATGATTTTCTCTTTTCTTCATTTAATCAATCTTAGGCAATTCGTCATGATTCACCTTACCTTATTTTTATTAAAAATCAGTTCTGATAAAATTTG